TACTCAGGCAGATAATTGTACAGCTATTTAATATTGCATAACCACTGTATGTTGGCTTGTAATAAAAGCTTAGGCTTTCTATTAGTGGTTTTGGCATCATACTTTTTCAAACATTAACCATCGATTACAATTTACCAAAAACTATTTGAGTGACTCTCTAAATCTACCTACAAAAAAACTATTGATTTTTTTTATGTTCAACACACTTCAAATCAAATCAAAACATCTTTATTTTCCTTACATGTACTTTTAAGCTGTAAAAACAGTTTAGTTTTTTGTATATTATATTTCTACTTTAGTCAAACGGTTTTATTGACCACCGACCGGCACTAAAACTTTTTCTCGGCCTAAATTTGACCACCGCGCGGAGTTGGGCTATCCCCCCGTAAATAATTGATTGATTGATAATTGAAACTAAATAAGTTAACAAACAATTACTGATAAATACAAAACTTCAAAATTGTTTATTTCAATGGAAGGTGTTACACTGTTACAGTAAACTGAGTAAAACACTTGAAAGGCAGAAATAACCTTCATTCTATGACCTTGAAGTCATTGAGCAATTAATCATAGTTCATTGACATTAAGTAACAGTTACAGACTAGCATCAGAGTTTATTCCACTACAGAGTAGTAATGTTAACTAACTTATTTTTATTCGAAAACTAAACCAGCTATTCGTAATAAGCCGACGTTTTAACTAGTTTTTTAATAGAGATGATTCAGAAATGTTACTGTCAATAACAATGTTTAATTGTATATTCTGCATTATTGTTTTCTTTGGAATCAAATATTTTTGATTTTATTTTATAACAAGGACCTTAAGTTAAGTTAATGGAGACGTTTTTTGTTTACGATTTAACACTAAAATACTCCTCAACATGCAAAAACAAAAATGTATTTACAATTTACTGCTGAATGTCAAATAAGTCCAACGAGATATTTGAAGTAAATGTGGGGTTTAAGAACAAGCTTTGTGAAGTGTTTCACAAAGTTCACAGTTTCACAAGTTCACAAGTTTCACAGTTTGTAGTATCTCTAAGACTGAATAACAAAGTCAAACACTTTATGGTTTTTCATATTTAGCATAATGATTAGGAGGGATGCTACCCTACAATAAAATGTGTGAGTCATTGTTAGACAATTTTTGCAGGGGTCCAAACAAATGTAAATTTAAGCTGATTGCTGAACAGTGTAAAGTCTGAATATGAGTGATGTGAGTCATCAAGTCAACAACAAACCTTTCAACAAAAGTAATTGTTTGTAGCCTGTCAGTGTCAGCTATCTTATCTACTGTTGGCATTAGTCCATTAGATGACTTTGTGGAAGCCAATAACTATTGTTTGGAATCAGAATCTCATAACAAAACAGTGCTAAAGTAAAGGCCTAGTTTGCAATTTTAAGTAACCTCATAAGGAAATAATTTCAAGATAGAATAAAACTATAAAAATTTGTTTTAAAAGTTAGGGAAATCAAGAGATTTTTTTTAAAGTAGACACATTAACTTAAGATAAATGATAAGATAGTTAAGCTATTATCAGTTTAGGACTATCATCTGTTTACTTCTGGAAAGCTCAAGGTCACATGTTTCAAAGATAGAAAGGACAAAACAGATTATTTTCCTTTTAGCGAATTTCCCATACAGGGAATAAGCTATTACCGTAGGTCTCATGGTAAGACCTGGACCTGGACCGATTTACTTTTTCGCTTTGATGTCCCTAGAGGCCAAAAACACCATCCGTTCAAATTCATATTTATATATATATATGTCGGTTAGCACGATATAACTCGAGCAAAAACAAGCCGATTTTGATGAAATTTGGCACAAACGTGTAAACCTACATTTAAATTGCGTTTTAATCAGACTATGAGACCGGGGGGTTTATGGGGTAGACATTGATTTTTCCCTTTTTTAGCTTGAGGGAAATACAAAATTTTCCAAATTCTCTTCAAACCATTTTAAAGAGCTAAAAAAATCAGTATATTGAAGTGTTTTGTGCAGTTATCAGTTAAATAGAAAATCTTAAAAATTTAAATTCCTGTGTTATTATTATGGAGAATAAGTAACCTGTTGTAGTTTGCTTATAAATGGATATATGTTGATCAAACCTGGCCAATTTCTTTATTTTATACTAAGCTATTAATATTTTACAAAAAAACACAGTCAGTCAGTCAGTGTACCGGTCCGCACAATGATGTACAGTAATCACTTTTGTTTAGGCCGGCCAAAAAGTATAATTTTTCAATGTTACGTGTAAATATAAATGTTTCGTGTGTCAGTGTATGTGTATATGTGTACTTCAACTTTGACCAATGCTATAAACAGTAATTAACAAGACAGAAAATTTGACAATGGGGCTGTTGGCCCCGAAACTATAGTCATTTTAAAAGACGACTTGGATTGAGGACGTATACAAGGTATTTAACCTATTATTATTAAAAAAACACACTTTATTGCTCCATTCCGATATTGGGTAGCAGCAAACCTAGGTAACCTAGGTACTCGTCAAACCTAAGTTATTTAAATAGATTTAGGTGAGGATGAAATCAGGCAAATGGAAATTCCCTTAATCTGCAGGTTTGCTACGGCAGGGTATATTATATTTTAGTCAAAATTAAAATCTATCTTATAAAGCCAAACCAGTTTCAATTGAACATTTACACTCTGCAGATGAATCTCTCAAATGGCAACTCTACTCTGTTGAACTAAATGCATAAAATATAAACTACCCAAACATCAATACTTGGCCACTAACTTCAGCATGTTAATGTCTCTCAAGTAGTAATACAAGTAGTTGTATGAAGAGTTTGTAGCTTTATTCCACAGTTATCAAAGATAACAAGCCCTCAGGAGGATTTAAATTAGAATTAATGATTAACATTGGAAGGTTGAGAGATTGTAGAGAGGTTACAGGGTAACAGATAAAAACTAATACAGTAATAGATTTGTACTTGTTCAACGAATAAAACTTTAAACAAATTATACTATTTTAAGGTTTGTTTAAAAAAACCAGGCTTGAGTTCTATTATTTGCTTTGCCATTATAAATATTATTATTTAATTACTCTTGTTTCAAACAAACAGTATTGATGACCATACAATGTTGTTGCCTATAAATATTGATTTCTAATGCATGCAGATACCGTACTCATAAAAAGTGTTAAGAAATAAATTATTACGACTAACGAATTACGAGATTTGCATATTGCAGAAACCATAGAGAAGTAGTGTAAAGTCCTGTAACATTTATAATAATAATAATATCACTTTATTGTCATAAAACATTTCACATTTCCAGCAAAGCTGGTGAAACAGATGACATTGTCATTTCTTAGCTAACAAAAATAAAAAAATAAATCTAAGAATTAAAATTAAAATTAAACTAGTCACTTTTTAAAAAACTATCATTTAAATACTCTTCTATTGTATAGTACTTATCTATGAGTAACTAACTTATGAAACGAGCATGAACTTTCAAATCTGGTAAGTTTATGTTGTGCCAGAAATATAGGCCTACTTGTGATGAGCAAGTACGAGCTCGATAACAAATCACTGATAGAAATCTGCCATGAGTAGTTTAATTGAAATCCATTTTTGAATTGGTAACTGGAATTTATTTAGACTAGGCCTGCTTCATATGTATTAAATAAAATCATTTAATGTCACAAAACTTTAGTTAAGCCTGGTTTTTTACGGGTTTAGTAAGAGATAGGCAGTAAGTTGCTGAATTGACTACGCCAAAGTAACTTACAGTTACTTCTAACAGTTTTTTGTTCACACAGATTTGAAACTGCTTAAATGAGCACCGTTTGCGGGCTGGTTTAAAACAAAGCCATTATTTAGCTTACCTTGAAAGTCTACTTATATGGTACAATAGTAGGTACCACACCCGCTAAAAGTACTTAAAATCTATGCTACAAAGCTCCGACTTAGCTTAGATTTTTAATTAATTTCTGCTAAAACCATTCTCAGAATAGGGCACAAAATAATAATTAAGAGAGAAAATCTAATGGCCTAAGTTATTTTTTTTTCTTTATCAGATTTTGAGTATTAATAAATTAAGGGGAATACATTGTTGGATTATGTTTCATTATTACTAGGTCTATTTGTGCTGATTAAATACATCTTGTTTAGGCCCAACTATAATCCGCAGCCTAATGATTGTTCAAGCTAAATACAATATAGTTTTATTTAACCTGACAGCAACGTTGCAAAAATGTTACAGGTGCATCACACGCAGGACGAACTTACATAGGCCTAATTGTTTTCATAGCCCCCTAGAGACCTATTTGTTGTGATTTTCTGAGTTAAAAGAGAGGTTAAATAAGCTTATTTTAAGTTGAGACTGATTTATTTCTTTGATGGTTGGATCCACAATCAAACTTTGACATCCAACTCTAAGTATTGAAGGTACGGTAACGTAACTTATTATCAAACAATATAAGTACAGTATCGATTTAATCGAACCAAACTTAGCCTAACCAAAACTCTAAGGTTCGGTTAATCTATATCAATTCAATTGCAACAATTGTTACTTACTGAAATTGAGCCAGATATCATCTGTTTTACCGGATCCACTTAAATAAAACCATTTGTTTTTGTACTGTACTTTGAATCCTAATTTTCAAAGAGTAGATAACTTAGGCCTAAGTTTACCTAGCCTAGGCTATAAGTCGAGAAAAATTCTGAAAACGTATTGCACACATTTGGTTGATTCTTGACAAAAAAAGGATCTCCAAAAATCGTGTTTAAATGTTAAACTTACCTCGGGTACAGTTTCTTAACTGGGCTAATATGCTAATATCGATTGAAACTGTCGATTCGATTAGTAAACTTTCATGCGATTTTTTCACCATCAGCAAGTTTGGTTGGTTAGGTTAGGTTATGATAGTTAATTTTTATAATAGATATATTAAAAAATATCGATTATTAATCAATATTTTCAATTCGATAGTTTCAATCGATATTAGTATAGCTCAGTTAAGACTCTGTACCCCTTACCTCTTTTTATGGGAAATCCTCGATCACTAAGAGTCCATGAAGTAACAGTGTAATTAATGTCACTAAAATTAATACTAATATTGCTTGGTTTTCTTAATTTCAATAACAGTTTACTATCACAACTTGGTGTCTGATCTAATATTGATCCTGAAGAATCATTAAACTCCGATAAATCATTTAACTGAATAGGGGACGGATCAATGGCTTCTCTGGACATCTTAGAATATTTAATGAAAGAACACTATGAGAATTAAAAATAGCTTATTTCAATTTTAGATCTTAAAACACAATACAAATCCATCCTTATCACTCAACTAGCCTAAGACACGTTCAAAATCAAAACAAACATCTTTCAGACGACACTATCCTAATCAGGTAAACATACTAAACAAAGAGCAGCGATTGGAGACTGTGGAAGCAAAGAGTACGTTTGCGATTGGCTATTGCGCTCTGACTGGGAGCCATTTGGTAACAGATAACAGATGTTTTCAAGGCTGCAATGTTGCCAACAGTACCACACCTAACAACACTCTTGTGTTTTATCGTTTTATACCTTTAAACGGGACTATAAACACATAATACAAATCTGTTCAATTGAGGATCCTGGTTAGTGTGAGAATAAAAGTGAACAATACAGTACTTTGTTTGGGGCACCTCCACAGAGATTTTTACTTCTAAATTGTAATATTCACTCGCATTGAATGTCCCATAGCCCATTGCCTCTTTACAGCCCCGAAGAACTAGGCAACGAGCCACATTTTAGCCATTGCCACAGTGTAATAAGTAAGTACAGCCATAGACTAAAGAGTATGTTTTATCTATGGTAAAGCCCTAAGCTAAGGTAATGCCTAAGTAAGGTCCTGCGAAAAGTAAATAGTTTTTTGAATGTTTGAAACTGGGTCCAGCTCACTGAGCTATAATTCTAACTGGAGGTAGCACTGAATGTCAAAGATGCGTGTCGCCAGCCGCCATGTTTGCGTGAGGTGTGAGTTTATAAGGAGCCATGTTATTGGATAAAAAAACTCACTGCTATGAAACCTAGTTATAGAAGCCATGTTATTGTTATGATAAGAAAACTCGCTGCTACCAACCTAAAGCCCCCCACACACTACCAGACCAGACCTCCAGACCAGACCGTCTGGTCTGGCGTCTGGCACTTGTCTTATCGTGTGTGGGGCTGTCTGCAGACCGATTTTCTCGGACCAGACTGTCTGCGTGTCTGATGGTTGAACCCTCAGACCACAGACGGTCTGAGGTTCCCCCACCACCATTTTTGTCTGGTCTGTGAGTGTGTAGCGCTGTCTGTCAGACGGCTGACTGGCTGACCATCGTGACAGTCTTCATCCATTTGTTGGAGTTCTCACCACGGTCTCTCAATTACGAATGTTAGACCGTCTGGTCTGGGAGTGTGTAGAGCCGTCCAAGACGGTCTGGTTGCAGCCAGACGGTCTGGTCTGGAGGTCTGGTCTGGTAGTGTGTGGGGGGCTTAACAAAATCAGCGACACGCTTTTGACAGACTTCTGCCATGGCAGTGCTACCTCCAGTTATAATTTTAGCTCAGTGGTCCAGCTATTCCTGATCATATGGCTAATAGTCTAAAACAGCTGACATTACTCAGTAACATAGCTACATACACGGATCATCACACTTCATTCTACACTCATTCTTCGCTCATATTTGAGTCAAAATACGCACCTAAATGGTGTCCCCATCAAATTGATAATGATAATAATGTGACAGAGTTAAACGAGGGAGATCTATTCATGGTTTAACTTTTAGTTCATGACAAGTATTGGCTATTGAAATGGGCAAAATTAATATACTACTGCCTAGTCTAGTGTTAATGTGAATTCACCAGTTCGTAATGTTGATATTCCATAAATGACTGGACACAGGAACTATCTTGCTCGAAGAATTTTTAAGTACTGCTGTAGCTTACTGGTATTGACAATAATAGCCCGCACTGAGGGTGAGGAAGGAACCTACAACTTTTTTTTCGTGGTTGTAGCACATCTTTATAGGACCAGTCGTGACAGAGAGCAATACAGAACCTAAAAATAATACCCTTTTTCGTAGCTTTTTTAATAAAAGATACTCGCATCTTTGGGTCATAGAAGAGTGATACGTTAATCAGGACTCAGGTGTGTCTAACAACTCCGTTGGAAACAACATGCCTATCTACGTAGGTCGTTGCAAAGTTCTATTTTGACTGAGACAACCTATTTCCCCACCATGGATTGTAGGTTTGTCTGACGACTGAGTACGGTACCTGGTACCCTTTCTACTCACTTTGCTCCATTCTGCTTACAAACCTTGGCCGATTAATTCCAGTAGTCTCAGATAAATACCTACCTTAATAGCTAATACACACGGGTCACAACGGTTCTTTACACCTAAATGCTATTTTTTCTAGCTGATGTTATTAATATCATCCGATATCTAATTATATCTTACCATTGACTATTTGTTGCATGAATAGTCAAAGATCTTACTGATCAGAGTTGTTTTCATCAGTGCCAGTGAGCATCTGTTGACATCTAGTGTCAGTGTGTTTTTGGTCAATTATATCTTTCTGATCAGCTGTTTCTACTGAGCTTCTGTGGGACTCTTGCTTGTTGACAACTATGACAGTGTCAGTGGTCGGCCCTCGCCCCCTCATCAGGTATACAAGCACATATGCCAAGAGACGAGCTATCAGCTGATCACTAATATCTCAAGCACTGATCAATTGTTTCCATCAGTGAGCATCTGTGAGACTTTGTTGACACCTGGCAGTGTCACTGTGTCAGCGGTCAGCCCTCGCATCCTCATCACGTACAAGGTCAGATGTCAAGTGGCGAGCTATCAGCTGATCAATTATATCTTACTCATCAGCTGTTTCAGCTAGCTTCTGTGAGACTTTGTTGACACCTGGCAGTGTCACTGTGTCAGCGGTCAGCCCTCGCATCCTCATCACATACAAGGTCAGATGTCAAGTGGCGAGCTATCAGCTGATCAATTATATCTTACTCATCAGCTGTTTCAGCTAGCTTCTGTGAGACTTTGTTGACACCTGGCAGTGTCACTGTGTCAGCGGTCAGCCCTCGCATCCTCATCACGTACAAGGTCAGATGTCAAGTGGCGAGCTATCAGCTGATCAATTATATCTTACTCATCAGCTATTTCAGCTAGCTTCTGTGAGACTTTGTTGACACCTGGCAGTGTCACTGTGTCAGCGGTCAGCCCTCGCATCCTCATCACGTACAAGGTCAGATGTCAAGTGGCGAGCTATCAGCTGATCAATTATATCTTACTCATCAGCTGTTTCAGCTAGCTTCTGTGAGACTTTGTTGACACCTGGCAGTGTCACTGTGTCAGCGGTCAGCCCTCGCATCCTCATCACGTACAAGGTCAGATGTCAAATGGCGAGCTATCAGCTGATCAATTATATCTTACTCATCAGCTATTTCAGCTAGCTTCTGTGAGACTTTGTTGACACCTGGCAGTGTCACTGTGTCAGCGGTCAGCCCTCGCATCCTCATCACGTACAAGGTCAGATGTCAAGTGGCGAGCTATCAGCTGATCAATTATATCTTACTCATCAGCTGTTTCAGCTAGCTTCTGTGAGACTTTGTTGACACCTGGCAGTGTCACTGTGTCAGCGGTCAGCCCTCGCATCCTCATCACGTACAAGGTCAGATGTCAAGTGGCGAGCTATCAGCTGATCAATTATATCTTACTCATCAGCTATTTCAGCTAGCTTCTGTGAGACTTTGTTGACACCTGGCAGTGTCACTGTGTCAGCGGTCAGCCCTCGCATCCTCATCACGTACAAGGTCAGATGTCAAGTGGCGAGCTATCAGCTGATCAATTATATCTTACTCATCAGCTATTTCAGCTAGCTTCTGTGAGACTTTGTTGACACCTGGCAGTGTCACTGTGTCAGCGGTCAGCCCTCGCATCCTCATCACATACAAGGTCAGATGTCAAGTGGCGAGCTATCAGCTGATCAATTATATCTTACTCATCAGCTGTTTCAGCTAGCTTCTGTGAGACTTTGTTGACACCTGGCAGTGTCACTGTGTCAGCGGTCAGCCCTCGCATCCTCATCACGTACAAGGTCAGATGTCAAGTGGCGAGCTATCAGCTGATCAATTATATCTTACTCATCAGCTATTTCAGCTAGCTTCTGTGAGACTTTGTTGACACCTGGCAGTGTCACTGTGTCAGCGGTCAGCCCTCGCATCCTCATCACGTACAAGGTCAGATGTCAAGTGGCGAGCTATCAGCTGATCAATTATATCTTACTCATCAGCTATTTCAGCTAGCTTCTGTGAGACTTTGTTGACACCTGGCAGTGTCCCTGTGTCAGCGGTCAGCCCTCGCATCCTCATCACGTACAAGGTCAGATGTCAAGTGGCGAGCTATCAGCTGATCAATTATATCTTACTCATCAGCTATTTCAGCTAGCTTCTGTGAGACTTTGTTGACACCTGGCAGTGTCACTGTGTCAGCGGTCAGCCCTCGCATCCTCATCACATACAAGGTCAGATGTCAAGTGGCGAGCTATCGGCTGATTGATTAAGTCAATTTTGGAATGTGACTGTGCTAACTTTATGATCATGTATCGATGTAATTGCTCACTAAACATGCCGATAAAAATGTCGTATTATTTTTAAATGAATAGTCGTTAAAATAATCTTTTGCGACTCAGGCTTACTAAAGTATTTCATATAATAAATCAACTTATGCTGTTGTTGGACAATAACTAGGAAAGGTGCGAAAACAATAAATGTACCTATGAAAAATAAAAGCACACTAATTTAAATTCTGTACTTAACTTTTGCAGTTTTCGGGGTTATCTTTGCGATTACTCCATTTGGGCAATATTCGTACCACGAAACATATTCATTTTCAAAGCCCGACGGTTTTATTGTTGTATTTTACCATAACACTACTATAACACTAGGTACTATATATAACACTACTAGTGTAACTAGTGTAGTGTATTTATAACACTACTAGTGTTATATCTAATATATAAAATTCTCGTGTCACAGTGTTTGTCTGCAAACTCCTCCGGAACGACTTCACCGATCGTTATGAAATTTGGTGTGTAAATTCTGTAGGTATGCGAATCGGACGTAAACTATTTCCCGTTTCGAAATTCTTAAAAGGGCTCCGCCCCAGTGGCTCTGGAGTTTCCCATGATAACCTTATGAGAAATGGAATTAATGAATCTTAACAGCTGTTTCAATTAAACAAGTTGGTTCTGTTCTATGATGTTCAATAGCATTAAAGTTACAAGGATTACCAACAGGGTGCAGCACTATTATTTCTTTTACATTTATGACAACAGCTAATTTGCAACCAAAAGGTGAGTGAGCGTAGCGAACGAACTTCAACCTGGAGGCGAGTTAGCGTAGCGAACGAGCTAACCTGAAGGCAAGTGAGCGCAGCGAACGAGCTCCAACCTAAAGGTGAGTGAGCGTAGCGAACGAGCTCCAACCCAAATGTGAGTGAGCGTAGCGAACGAACTTCAACCTGGAGGCGAGTTAGCGTAGCGAACGAGCTAACCTGAAGGCAAGTGAGCGCAGCGAACGAGCTCCAACCTAAAGGTGAGTGAGCGTAGCGAACGAGCTCCAACCCAAAGGTGAGTGAGCGTAGCGAACGAACTTCAACCAGGACGTGATTGAGCGATGCGAACGAGATCATCTTGAAAATTAAACGTAACGGTACTTTCTTTCCATCGGTCTGTCATAGGGGAAACCTATAACTTAGGCGATACGAAGTTCGCCGGGTCAGCTAGTCTATCTATATATTAATTTGAAACTGTTTTTCTTTGTCATAGCTAAATTGAGAGAACGGCTGGGCGTAGAAACTTGTTAGAGGTGTCTAAAGAAAGGTCTTGGTCTGTAGATGAGCCATCAAAAGAGAAACGTGGTAAATTCCCTTGGGGCTCTGCCCCAGTGGCCTTTGAATTCCCATCCCATGTTATTCTTATGGAGGAAAAACTGGGTTTTTGTCCCAGCTAATTTGAGAGAACGGCTGGGCGTAGAAACTTGGTAGGGGTCTCTAAAGAAAGGTCTTGGTCTATAGATGAGCCATCAAAAGAGGAACGAGGTAAATTCCCTTAGGGCTCTGCCCCAGAAGCCTTTAAAGTTGCCTCTTCAAATTTGTTTACCATATGCATATTTCTACACTTATTTTTTAATGAAACAGCTGTTAATATTAAAATTGTGATTTATTGAATTTTTCGAGAAAAGATAAGATATTTACAAAAGATTTTGAT